ACAAGAACATAACACCAGGAAACCTGAAAACTCCTGGAAACAACAACAGAGCAGACCCTAACACACTGATGGCCCGCGTAGGGCCGCAATTTCTCTTGCAGCACAAAACCAGATGCCATTCTGAGCGACATGGAGTGAAAGCGAAGGAAGCGAAGAGACAGATGGAGGGGTTGGAGGTCATTACACTGGGCCGCTGTATCTTCATGTGTGGGTTAAACTACAGAAGGTAATATTTTAGCACAACGAACTGAAGCAACAAACCTTTCTGAAGTTTGATACCGGTGCGTAGCATGAGGGAAATCCCAGACATATCGTGGTGGCAAAATTTTAGTCGTTGGAACTTGCTTGGTTGCGAATTAAAATATGCGAACGGACAAAAACAAACAAACATTTACACACTATGGGTCGCTGCAGTATTCGTTTTTGCATTTGCATATATGCAAAAAGCATAAAAATCAGTCTGACGGACAAATTACGGCTTATTGTAATTAAGGAAAGGGGCGTAAAAGATATAACTTCATTTCGAGGAACTCAATCATCATTTGAGTTGCTTGTTTGCGAGTTGAAATATCCGGACAGACACACACACAGCCATTACATACGCAGTGAACACTTATTAGCTTTGTTGTTTACTTCCTTCAGAGTGGCAAGTAATTTGCTGCTAGATAACAGGATTCTCACTGGGCTTAAGCAGCCATTCAAAGACTTGATGTTGCATCGAAAGAAGAAGTAGTGCTGAATTTGAATCACAGGGAATGACTGTTATTCGAATTTTTGACTCTCTACAAACGTGGACATCACATCTTCTAGAATTGTCGTTTTCTGCGGCTACTGCATCAAACTGTACTGCTTACGCAGCTCAGAAGAAATGTGAAAACGCGTGAACACATCAGTGCATATCTACTTTTGCATTAGTAAGGAGCTGTATGCTCATTTTGCGTGCTTCAATTTTTACTAATTTCTTTTATTCAGTTCACAAATGATGGCTGTCTGAAATCACACGAGCTGTGTGAATCTATTCACTGAGAGCTATTTTGGTAGCCGAATCGCAGCCTCTGGCTGTGTCGAGGTCGTCAGTACTAGCCTGAAAAAAAAATTAAAATTTCTTTTTTTTTAACGATTGAAATTCAGATTCTTGTGCTTTCTTCGGTGCTGCTTGCTGCTGGTACAGCCGATGCTCTTTCTTTTTTTTTTTTGAAAACTTAGAGGGCGCTTAGGCTGCGTTTAGCGAATTGTTCTTCGAAATTTCTTCGAATTTCTGCCATCCAAAAGTGTTATATTGTGCAGCTGCCCAATCTTGTAAAATCATCAGTAATGAAAGTATTCAAACCATATCGATGTAATATTGAGAGACTGCAGCTGCTATAGGCGGTCGAATGATGAAAAAACGCGGATCGAATAGGTTGGCAGCCGCTCCGGTGCCATCCGACTGTGGAATGTAGAGACGATAATCATGCAGATCTTGCAGTTCATATTGTGACGGCACCAGAACTATTTCATCTGCAATACTCCCAGAGTGATTGCTGGAATTAAGTTGAAAATTAGACCTAAAGTAATCCTAGCCTAGCTTTAAACTGTAAATAAATTAAAATTCGAAG